GGCTTAGTTTGTCGGGGGACATCTTACTTCCTCCTTCTCTCTGTCTATACCTGTGTACTCTCATGTTCCGATTAACCCAGCTTCCCCAAATGTCTTTCTTTTTGGTGTCTATATACGCCGGGATCCGGAGTCATGGATGATCCTGCGGTCCTGTGTCCTGGATCGCGAGCCCTGGATCTTGAGTCTTGGCTGTGGTCCTGGATCATAGGTCCTGGATGGATATCCTCGTGGATTCATCTTCCTATTATACACACATGCATTTCCAAACATTTGGACTACCTATGTTGCAAATGTATTATCTTTTCAATTTACACACGGCATCTATTGCACGTCTGTCCGTCCTGGGAGAGGGATCCCTCCTCTGTTGCTCTCCCTGAGGTTTCTCCCATTTTTCCCTTTAAACTGTGGGTTTTCTCCGTAAGTTTTTCCTTGTACGATGTGAGGGTCTAAGGACAGAGGGTGTCGTATTTTCATATTGATATTCTGTACAAACTGTGAAGTCCACTGAGACAAATGTAACATTTGTGATATTGGGCTATATAAATAAACATTGATTGATTGATTGATTATTATAAGCAAGACAATAAATGGCAAAGATATGTAGAAAATAAACTTATTTAAGATACGTTCATACGAAATGTAACGTGGGAGAAAATACGTTTCTAGCTAACGTAATTGAGAATGCAGTTTAGTTCTGTGGGAACGTCATTTTTAGGAGACAGGGTTGCCATAATACATTCTGACGAAAAATACAAATTATTATGAATACAAATAAAATAAAAGAAGCCTCCCGTGAGTTACTAGAAGCTATAAAGTCGATTTTAAAAACGTTTTATAGAATAAAAGCTCACTGCTGGACGTTGTAGAAATGCGTGTGCGCACCATGACAAAGGAGCCTCATTCACTTTACATTGGGGTTGTGTGCGTGGTGCAGACACGTAAATGTAGCAAAGTTCGTGACTCCACCACGCAATGCGGTGTTAAGGAGTCGTGGTGGAGTCACGCTTTCTGGTGAGATCAGGTTGAATTCATTTCATGTGGAATTATTGACCTTTAGTAATGCAAGTGGGCTGTTTTTTTTACGAATGGGTCCCAATATTGTTCTTCAATGCAAAGAGCATGGAAGAAGAAGAAGACTGCTAGCTTAAAATATTGACGTAAAAAATAGAAATACTTTAAAAAATATACTTTGCTAATGCTTTTTGGAGGATGAAAATGCACTTAACATGTTTGTTAGAGCTAAAGGACACACAACATTATAATAATAATAATAATGATAATAATGCATCACATTCTTTACATTAGTATCTTAATGTGAATTAACTTTTGTTGGTTTACAAGAAAACTACACAGGGCACCTTTAAAGGTCACCTATTATGCAAAATCCACTTTTTCATGTATTTTATACATAAACATGTGTCCCCTCTGTGTAAAGCGATTCTGAAAGTTTTAGGAAAAAAGATTTGCTCACTTTTTGTCCTGATCCATTTACATCCCTGGGGCTGCATGTCTGGATCTCTGGTTTATTGTTTTGATACATTTTTTAAATAAACACTGAGTGATTCAAATCACTGTAGACTTTTGTTATTGCATTACAACATCTGTTCAACGCTTCAATAGCAGGTTTTTGACACCCTTGTGATATGTTTTGACACTTGATTGTGTGCAGGGTTAATAATTGCATTAAGCATTTATAGGAAATGTATATGGTTGTATTGATTGTTATTTCTTTCGTCTTCACTATGCTGATTATTCGTGCACTTTTGTCAAAGTATTAATTTGTTGCCAACAGCAAGAATAATAACATTATGTCAAAAGTGTACGTCTAATGATTTTTGCTGTTCACCATCAAAACTGGAATCGAAAATGAGAAATGAAAAAGGCAATTAAAAAAAATTATCACCTCGACAGGGAAACACATACGAACCAAATGTTAAACATAAAAAATGATATGATACAAGCTGGCAAATCTACTTAATTAGAAAACTCAACTCAAATCACATATCAAAAGTTATATGAAGTTTGAAGTAAGCTTAATCTGTGTGTTTGTACTGCTTTTACACAGAGCTACTTCAATTGATCTCTATTTAAATGTTATTTAAATGTTATAATAACACAATGCTCTTTTTGTCCTGATCCATTTATATAAAAACCTGTCTGAAAATGAGCTGATCAGATTTTGGCCACTTTGTGATGTCATAACGTTTTTTGGCTTGTGTAACCATTAGCCAATAACCAACCAAGGTAACCCCTGCCTACATTATCACCTGAATCTCCTCCTAGAGCACCATTGTGTGTTTTTGACCAAATATCTCTCAGAGGGGCGGGAGTGGCTTCTTATTTTCATCAAAAGTAAAATACTTTTGAAACAGGGCTGAAACAGAGGGGTTTATGGGATGCTATAACAGTATGATCTGTTTGGTATTTGGAGCCGAACCCTTCAGATACATGTTTATATATATCTGAGATCTATAATATATTGATGAAAAACAGTATAATAGGGGACCTTTAACATAGCTCATACTTTAAATGGATTTCGTGGCATGGGCTAGAAGTAGTTGGTTCTACTTTTTCATTTTAGCCTTAAAAGACTCAATCATGATATACTTCATCATGAATGATAAACACATTTTGTGAATGGGTATCAAATGAAGAGAAAAATAAAGTGACAATTGAAAGTCAGGTGTTTCCTCTTTTATAACAGTGAACATATTCTAGGAAGTATTTGCCAGCTCTCCATTCAAAGAACCATGTATTCCACTGTTGCACTAAATAATAAGTTAAACACAATCGATTGTGTAAAGGTTGCTATTTACATGTCAAAATAAATACATCTTCAGGAATTGAATGCATATATATATTTTTATGTGGATGACTCCAGGACTTACATGCAAGGCAACATCAAATAATACATACTCAGCCTTGTCAAAGCCCTTATTGATTTTTCTGTAACATTAATGAGATTTAGGTTATGACACCAGACTGGCTAATCTGCGCCATAATAAACCATTGTCAATGCTCATTATTTAAATATTTTTGTTGGCAATTTCAATGCCCTTTTAGGTAGTACATTTAACAGTTAAATCAATAAATTGAAAAATTGATCGTTTCTCCTGATTAATCAACTCAGTTTAGCTTGATTTCTAATATTTGCATTTTAAAAAATCAATAAGGACTTACAAAAGGCTGAATATCTAGATAACATACATTTGTGAGGGTTAACACATCATGCTTTTGTTTAATATGAAAAAGCATTAAAGAGTAAATATAATCACACTTTGTGAATGCTACATTCAACTACTGTAATGACAACATTTAGGACACCCATCTCAGTTTAGTGAAAGGTAGGTGAATACCAGTGCTTTCTTACGGCATGTAGTGAATAATAACTTGTGTTTTAAAAGGTACACATGAAGTCGGATCTATGAACTGTGTCTATTTTGTGTACTTTCATGATTGAAATACCTTCCTTACATTTCATTTCTGACTTTGAATCTACATTTAGTGTGTTTGGTTAAGTGCTGCAAACTTACAATTTCAGTCCCCCATGTTTTTCAATGGTGAATTATGACTAAGATCAGGTATTTGACTAAATGACTTTTCTTTGTTAATACCACTGCTCTGTCCCCCTTTTCTTTTTAGATTCCATCCTACTTGATTTGCCCATCTTAGCAACATGCATTTAGCCAAGGAGCTCAACCACAGAGCCAACTATCCAGCACTGTTCTCAAGGATGTTTCTCACAGGATGCATCTCAACCAAAAGGGGAGATTGGGGAAAATCTAAACTTACTGTCTATGGGAGTGTAGGAGTGTGAAAGAGACAACAAGAAAGTTACATGATAATTGTTACTCATTCATTGGTTCGAGAAGAGAGTCTTTGTTAAAAGTTCTTTAAATGAAATGACAACATTATTTGGTTTTTGTAGGAAATGATTTAATATCTTCATTTATTTGAAACAGCCAAATGTGTAACTCTCATTCGATCAAGGGTTTCCCATTGCTTTCCTCTAGTAGGCAGAACATGTTTTAAGTCATAGATCCATTTACTTGAAAAGGCACAATAGCTTTGAGTGTTTTGGTGAAAATAACATGTATTCTGATGTCTGTATAAGTGAGACGTTTAGGTCTGTGGCAAAAGAAGGCAAAACTGGGTTGTTTTGGAAAGTACTATGTAAGGTTAATCTCTTTGGGGTCAAGCTATTGAATACTGCATATTTTAATTAAGTTTGGTTTTGATTTAGTTTTTACTATGTGCCCATTATTTTTCTTTTTTCTTTTGGAAACCATTAATGCAACAGTTTGACGTTAAGACAGCCATTTGAAGGCATGGGGAAGTGTTATGCTAAATACATGACAAAAACCGAAAATGTTGTCATATACAATGTAGGGTTGATTGTCAGTATAGAGCACCAACATGACCACTTGCTTTTCCGTAGTAAGGCTCTAGTCTAGGTCATAAAGTCATTGGAGTATGCTACAGAATGCGTAAGGCCTTTAAAGTGTCCTCTTCTCTGGAATCCATCGATCTGATTGATTATTAGCGGAGCAAATTATCAAAATAATACGGAGGGAAGATATTTTTGTTCAGATTACTGGTCTGGGGGAAGCTCGTGAGTGTGTGTATAATATATGTGTGTGTGTTTGTGTAATATTGCGCTTCTGTGTATTGTGTTTGTTTCCCGGGGAAAACACTCACGAGAAACACCGGCTGTTGTTATGCCTGCTGTGACGTCAAGTTACTCCGTTCTCCGCTTGTAATTATGCCGTCACAAGCTGCAAAGTTGTATTTATCATCTGAATTTGCCGAAACAAGTTTAATATTCTGAAAGCCAAGACTTTGTTTGTTTAAAATCAAACAAAACACCCGAATCCCGAAAAACTATTTTTTTACACAAATCCATGTTTATTTTGAAATGAGCCGTTGCGACTTCCGACTGATTTCGATAGAGCGGGTCACGTGTGTGTGTGTGTGTGTGTGTGTGTGTGTGTGTGTGTGTGTGTGTGTGTGTGTGTGTGTGTGTTGGGGAGGTAGGGCTATTACAAAAAGCAGTCTCTCCCTTTAGTTACACTCAAATTATAAATTATAATTATGTTTTGAACTGTTTTTTTCTAAAAATAGAAATTTCAATTGTAGGTTCAAATAGAAGCAGATTAAACATATTTAATCCAACAAATGTGTTTCTAATTATTTTCATGTTTACTGACTGCTGTTTGAAACCCAACCCCCCATCCTGCATGAACTGCTCCGGCTTAGTTGACCAGGAGCTCTTGGAACTGCTCAGAGCGGAGGAAACGCCCGAAGGAGTCTTTCTCCATCAGGGCGAAGATCCTCTTCTGGGCCAGGTCAAAGGTCGCAGGGGACAGATCCACCAGGTTCCTCAGGGTCACATCCTTGGTGAAGTGGTCAATATTCACCTGTAGTGTGAGGACAACAGAACATGCTGTCAGAAACACAATGCAGACGATGAAGATAAAGAGAAATGGCAAGTATTAAATGTTAACATGAATACTTAAATGTTAACAAGAAAAAAACTATAGGTTACTTATGTAACCCCAGTTCTCAGAGTAACATGAAGTGAGATGTCTCACTATGGGATGTGCTTCAACGTGTATGCAAACAGAAGCATCAATCTCATTACGCCAACCCTGATTGGCTGGTGATCTTGACGTCAACGTCAGGGAATCCACCCACCCTTTAAGTAGCTTGCGCTACGACGCAGCGTCATTCAAAATAAGCACCTCTTCTCGCTTCGCCTTAGCAAGAAGGGCCGTCTGGTGAGATATCTCACTTCATGTTACTCTGAGAACTGGGGTTACGTAAGTAACCTATAGTTCTCATTCATAACATTCCGTTCGATGTCTCACTATGGGATATTGAAACTCCCGTATTGCTAGACATGCTTATCTCGAAAATCACCAAAACAACCAGAACTTAACAGGTAGAACCCTGTCTCAACACGGGACCCAGCACTGCACGGGCCACACTTGGAGCAGAGACATCTAGCCTGTAAAAGTGGACAAAAGTGAGTGGCGAGGACCAGCTCGCTGCTGCACAAATGTCTTGGATGGAAACACCCTTGAACAAAGCCCAGGATGTAGCCAGTCCACGAGTAGAATGAGCACGCAGGCCCGTTGGTGCCTGCAAACCCTGACTCGTATAAGCCAGAGCAATCGCTTCCACAATCCAGTGGGAGAGCCGTTGCCTGGTAACGGGCTTGCCCTTCTGAGGGTTAGCCCAGGATATAAAGAGTTGGTCATTACAACTAAACTCTTTTGACCTGTCCATATAGATGCGTAAAGCACGAACTGGATACAGCAAATTCGGCCGCTGTTCCTCAGAGGAACACAGCGGCGGAGGAAATGCCACAATGTCAATTGGGGTACATGAGCCAACCACCTTAGGTATAAAGGCAGGGTTGGGCTTCAGCAACACTCTCGTTTGCCCCGGGGCAAACTGAGTGCACGAAGGATGTACAGAGAGCGCATGAATCTCACTGACTCGCTTGGCGGATGCCAGAGCCAGTAACAGCACTGTCTTCAGTGACAGGTGTTTCATGTCAGCTTCTTCCAGGGGTTCAAATGGAGGTCGAGTGAGCCCATCTAAAACCACTGCCAAGTCCCATAAGGGCACCAGTGACCTGGAAAACGGGAGGAGCCTGCGAGCCCCTTTCATAAAACGGCAGACCAAAGGATGTTGGCTAGCCGTCTTTCCCTCAAAGCCCACATGGCATGCAGCAATAGCAGCCAGGTACACTTTGATCGTAGAGAAAGCTCTGTGTTTATCAATTAAGTCCTGTAGAAATGATAAAATCACCCCAACAGGACATTGAAAAGAGATGTGTCCTTTTTGAAGGCACCACTCCTCAAACACCCTCCACTTACAGTCATAGAGAGACCTGGTGGAGGAAGCTCTTGCACTCTGAATAGTGTTTATCACCTTCTGAGGGAGACCCACTGTATTCAGATTGTACCACTCACGGGCCAGGCCCATAGTGCCAAGCGCTCTGGGTGTGGGTGAAAGATCGCTCCCCCCCGCATGAGACAGTATGTCCCTGCGTAGTGGGAGCTGCCATGGCTGCCCGCACAGCAGCTGATATATCTCCGCCAGCCAGTACATTGCAGGCCAGTGCGGAGCTATCAGGATAAGTGTGTGGCGTTGTTCTCTCACAGAAATCGTGCATTGAAAAGAACAGCTGACATTGAGCATTTTCTTTTGATGCGAACAGATCTACCGCGGCTCGGCCGTAACGCACCCACAGCTGACACACAATCATTGGATGTAGAGTCCAGTCTGCATATAGTGGTGCACCTCTGGACAGCAGATCTGCCCCGAGGTTCATCACTCCTGGTACGTGCGTCGCTCTCAGAGAGAGGAGACGTCCGCAGCTCCATAAGATCAGTTTGCTTGCCAGCATGTGTAACTGGAGAGAACGCAAACCCCCTTGGCGGTTTATATACGATATTGTGGTCGTGTTGTCTGTCCTCACGAGGACATGATGTCCTCTGAGAAAAGGCAGAAAGCATTTCAGGGTGAAGAACACCGCTAAAAGCTCCAGATAATTTATGTGTGACCGTTGGAGGTCTCTGCTCCAGAGACCCCTCACAGGTCGACCTTCGTACCCCCCCAGCCCGTCAGACATGCGTCTGTGGTGACCACCTTCCGCGATAGGACAGCACCCATGGGCACGCCCCGTACTAGAAAAGTCGGGTGTAGCCAGTGGCGCAGTGCCATTACACATTTCATAGTGACCATCACTCTCCGCGCGCCATGACGCGCGGGGTCCAATCTGAGGGCAGCTACCCAGCGCTGAAACTCCCTCATGTGTAAGCGTCCCAGTCGTACCACCAGAATGGCTGACGCCATGAGCCCCAGCAACCGCAGACATGACCTGAAGAGAACATATTTGCGTGGCTGGAAATGAGCGAGGCAAGCCCTGAAGGCTTTCACTCTCTCTGCTGACAAGCGGGCTGTAAAGGACACCGAATTCAGGCGTAGGCCCAGGAAGAGTACAGTCTGGGCTGGAGACAACATGCTCTTTTCTGTGTTTATTACGAAAACCAGGTCGAGCAGGTGTTTTACGAGGACATTCGTCTGCGTAATAGCCTCTTGCTCCGACTGTGAGAGAAGGAGCCAATCGTCCAGATAAGTTGCCAGGCGAATACCCTGTCTTAACGGGGCTATCGCGGCTTCCGTACACCGTACAAACACTCGCGGGCTGAGAGACAGACCGAAGGGAAGTACTCTGTACTCGTAACAGACACCCTGAAAGGCGAACCTCAGATATTTCCTGTGTGGGTAATATACTGGGATGTGGAAATACGCATCTTTCAGGTCGACTGATGTGAACCAGTTGTTTTGGCGCACGAGACGCAACAGAGATGTGTGAGTGAGCATTCTGAATTTGTATCTTTTGAGATATTTGTTCAGAGCTCTCAAATCTAGTATAGGCCGAATTCTGTTCCCTCCCCGTTTGGGAACGAGGAAATACTTGGAATAAAAGCCGCTCTGACTCTGTTCGGCGGGTATTATCGATATAGCCCTCTTTTCTAGTAGCGAGAAAATCTCTTGCTCTAGAATATGGGCCGACTCTCCCCGGGCCTGTGAATACAGAATACCCGAGAAGTGAGGGGGAGTGACAGCGAATTGGAGCCTGTAGCCCCGTGTTACTGTCTTGAAAACCCAAGCAGAATCTGTGAGCATCCTCCACTTTTCGCTTCTCAAAGCGAGCGGAGATGTCACAGCTCTGTCGTCTGCCCTCAGTGTCTCTATTTGTTGTGTTATGGGGCCCTCTAGTGTCTGAACACGGTGGTACGCCAGGTTGACAACCCCGGCCGATACTGCGCATGCGCGTGGCGGTGGTGCCTTCACAATCCCGTCTATTGTCCGCCTTTTGAGAGAGGTCGTAGCCGCTCTCAAAAGAGGGGCAGACAACAGACTGTTTATTGTTTTTATTTTCATTTTTATTGACTGCGCCCTTGGCTTCAAGCCTGGAAACGACAGTGGAAAATGATTTATTTTGAAACAACAATGATGACAGCGGAACTTGCTGTCTTCGATGTTAAGTCCATTTCCCTGATGGCGCGAACTTGAGGATGACGTTCTGGCATCACTCGAGGCGGCGGAAAGATGGGGGCATGGTGGCATCCAGAAAACACATGAGCATCCAACACTGGAACGTGCTCTGGAGCTGATAATTCGAGATGTGCTCTGAAGCGAGAAGAGGTGTTTGAAAGACGCTGCGTCGTAGCGCAAGCTACTTAAAGGGTGGGTGGATTCCCTGACGTTGACGTCAAGATCACCAGCCAATCAGGATTGGCGTAATGAGATTGATGCTTCTGTTTGCATACGCGTTGAGGCGCATCCCATAGTGAGACATCGAACGGAGTGTTATGAATGAGAACTGGGTTTTACTTGCTTGTACCAAACAATATATCCTATCTACGCAAGCAAGCAATTTACAAACATTCAAAAACACAATTTGTCTAGTCCAAAACCAACAACGTTTTTTTGAGTTTCTGAAAATCACTTCCCTTTTACAAAAGCTTGAACACATGTCGCCAGTAGACACAAGGCCAATCGCATTGAAGATGTTATGTTTTACGCGGAATATGCCTTAAAGAGAAAGAGAGAGTAGCCATTTTTGGCAAGATACTATTTATTCATTCTTTGTCTATTTCAAATTGCCAGTTGTAATGTTTATTCCAAATAGAATCAGATCAGGGCACAATATTTTCCTCTAAAAAGCAGAAGTCACGTCCCCTAACCCAATATGGAAATACTTAAGTCTATGTGTGTGTGTGTATTACCATTCTGTATGTGTGTGTGTTCCCGTGTCTGAGCAGTTCACTGGCATGTCTCAGTACATTCTCTCTCTGTGACCTCATCTGTTTACACTTAAACAGGCCTGTATTTCTCATCTACAATACTGATTAGATAAACACTCCAACGTTTTCAAATGTCTGCAAATTGTATTAAAACTATCTCTCTAACAATTCCCTCTATATTTCACCTTGAATAACCTGGCTATTCAGGAGTGAAGTGTTTTTATGTAAATACCATATTACTCATTACCCTGTTGACTAAATCCCTGTTTTATTGCCAACTTACTGACAGCACCTTTCAGGGATTGTACTTTAAGAATGAATAACTTGTTATTGGATCATCTTTTCGGATGAGATTGCTGCCAAGTGAGAACTCATTATTGAAAGATTGGTGCTGGTTGCGTAAAGCATGATACATGTATTTAATTTAATAAACCATGTGGTGTTGAGTGCATAACAAGGGGTAATCAGAGGAGTTCCTGACCTCTCTTGGCCCCTCAGACTGGATGAAGTCTTCGTAGATCTTCTTGGCCTTGGCTGCCATCTTCACGGGGTTCTTGATCTTCTTGAAGTCCTCGCAGGTCACCCAGAACTCAACATTCTCGTCACTGAACTCAGACTGGAGGAAGCTGCGGAAAGCAGAAACACCATCTGATGGATAACAAGACGAGAGAGATATGTATTAATAAGCGGCATAATAAAATATGGAATCAGTGATAATTTAAACCCCTTTTCATGCACATATTTGGGAGAACAATCTCCATTATAAAATCAATGACAGACTATTTTTGTACTATTTTAAACATGGCTCAGCTGAATTATATCACATTCATGCAAAGGTTACTTGTTCTATCCTAGTACTGAAATATAAAAGTAAATCCCAAAATATATTGGATGAATATTTCTACAATTTGCAAGATGTCATAATGTTCATGTTTTTTTTGTTCAAGCAAGGAAAATGACTAAAAAAAAACACGTTAGTAGAACTAGTAGATTCATTTTTGCTACATAAAAAGGTATGAAAATGAAACATCCAATGACTTACTCAAAGTAATTATAGAAATGATATAAATAAATAGCTAAACTAAACTTGTATTTACCAAATCAGAAAACTATTTATTCCTTTAAAAACCAATATAGTATCAACAATAGAAAACTCTTTGGACAAATGCAAAAGCACAGTGGTTATTCCAAGATAACGATTCAAAAATGAAACTTAATAAAACATCCATTTCTTTCAGTGAAGACCATTGTGGTTCAACATAATGCCTTTTAAAAGTTCCCATTGTCTGAACCAGCATGTGCTGCAGACGATAAGCTTTCTATTATGGCCTCAGGCTTTTATCTGCAATCTAAATGACTAGTTTGGTTCAAAATAGCACAGAGTCACAATCAAGCTGCAGCCCTTTTTTATGACCTCTAGTACAAGGACACACAAAGAGAGAAGAACACACCCACAGGCACTGATGACAATTTACGGATGTTGGTGTATCAGAGCAGAAACAACCGGCAGAAAATGCAGCGTCATGTTTAGGGTGAGGGTTTGTTTGTTGTATATTTATGATTTTGTCAACATTTTACTTCCATATCCTCCAAATTATGCCAGATTAAATTACATTTCAGCTTTTATTAACTCCAATGACCCGTCGTGCTGCATAATCTTTCAAATAACAAAAAGAGCACCGACAACAAGGAAATTAGATCAAGTTGTCTTCAATTGCAATTTTTAAAACAGAGTAGTCCTAGATCACTAATTTCCTGTGTTATAATATACATTACATAAGGAAGGAAGGGGGGTGAGTCCCACATCTGAGAGGAAATAACTCAGAGAGAATCCCATGGGAATTAACAAGAGTGGAGCCATAAAGAATAAGGTTACATGAAATGCTGATGTAGATGAATAATCAGTCTGCAGCAGTTTGCAGCAACTGTGCAATAAATCAACTCTTGTGGAACCAGTTACTTCTCTCTGGAGACGTTATCATAACACACACAACCCCAACGGACGCATACACAAACAGATGCATGTACACACTCATGCCGGCATGCAAACATACATCCCTCTGCCCTACACTGTGCTGAAGGAGACACTTAAGAAGTTCTTCTACCACCCACTGAGCTCTGCAGAGGAAATGTTGACTCTACACGTGTATCAGCTACAACATCTGTCGGTGGATCTGTTTTGATGCACAGGGGCACCTTAAGTGACTTATTAGCAGGAGAGTTTACACGTAACGCTAAAGACCGTTAACCATTAGAGTTAATCATCCGTCTTGCTGGCTCTCAGGCTTTCTGTGCACTTTGGAAGGTAAACAGTGGAGCCAGTGGTTGCATTCTGGTATGCATGGTGGTTTAAAATGGGTTTTTCTTACATAATGCTATGGTAATGTTACACTTGTTGTTTATTTTCTGTTGCCCAGATCATTTTCAGCGAACTTTAGAAATGTAGCTAACAAATAAATGCCAATAAGGCGCAAATGACTTAGTCTAGACAAACTGCACTTCTGTCAGAAATTGGTGATGTATGCTACCCTTCATGCATGGCTGTAAATGCCAGTAAACAAAGTATAGTCATTTGAGTTAGGAAAAAATGGACGGAGGTCTTTTAGGATTTGTTACTTTTAGGGCAATATCAATATTTAATCATATTTATGCAAGCTTTTCATTGGCCATCTTCATAATTGAACAAAGATCATGTTATGCATTGGTTCTAATCCATGAGCAATGGCAGCAGACAAAACAGGTGATCAGTTATGGCAGTTTAATGTTTGCTACGTCGGAAAACCACCAACATCTTGCATAAAAAGGTTTTGTGTCATACAGAAAGTAGTATTTATTAGCCATTCAAGATGTGCAAAAAAAAGTATATGTTTATGGATACAAACCTATTATCTCCTGTTAATTAGGATTTTGTAACCTTTTAGTTGTTGAAAGGAATTCCTGAGTGACCAGAATCAGATTAAGACTGTTGCTTAATGCCTAGAATAGGTGCAATGTCTGCATCTTAGATGAGGTATTGATTGAAAATACCACATCCTAGACAGCAAATTAACTTGAACTAAACTCTATTATAGGGAAAGGTAAACAACTCAAGGAGAAACAGTTTAAGGGGTTCTTTGAGACCACAACATATGATTTAAAAACGATTTTAAAGGAGTGTGTACATTATGACATTCCACATAATCTCTGTTTACACACATATTAGTTTTTTATGTAATTTTTAATTGGTGGTTTTATTTTAGAAAAAGTATCTTTAAAAGACAGCTTGTGGTTGCAGTATTTATTTCCAAGAGGCAAAATATACCACAACATTATCTTCATTTTTCGAGTCATCAAACGGTCACATGGACGTCTAACATAGAATATAAATAAATAAGCACACACGCTAAACCCAAACCAGGCTAGGTATGATGTACCTGCAAATGGTCTTCTTGACAGAAACCAGACATTATGTAAGACATGTTTTTCTACTTGTGAAACCAAGGTGCCAGCTGTTACATAATGAAGATTGCAGCAGCCCTAGAAAGTATGAAATAATGGTGCTTTCAATGTTTGCCTTAGAGGACATCACCAAAGCAGAGATGCTGCAGAATAGCAACTAATGGGCTAACCAATCTTCTAAAATGTGTTATTTTTGTGGGATTTTAAGAAGGAGGATTATTGTTGTTGGAAAATAACCAAGCATCAGCCATCCAGGGGAAAGATGGTGTGCACAAATGGCATAATTATTAGAAGAAACAAGGCAGCTACATGAGAGCAAGCAACATTACAACAGTTTTTTTCTTCTTTCGTCTATTTGGATATTTTAAGCCATGTTTTTTGTATTCCTGTTTTTTGAGAAGTCAACGTTTTTTCAGAAGTCAACGTTTTTTCATGTAATGTCACAAAAAAGAAAGATCCTTAATAATGCTAGACAAAAAACAAGCAGTTAGAATTTCGCCAGTTACATCAAACGATGGACAGAATACATGCAATGTGTGTCTGAATTGCGGTACATGTAATCTGGTAGAAATTAAGCAGTTCAAATCCAACAGTTACTCTGTATTTGAGTATCTCACTTTTTTTGCAACAGGTACAGTTGCCCTAAACTGGCAATTAGAGATAATTTAAAGAGAAGAATTAGTAATGAGAGTAAGAAAGTGTAAACTTACAGCTGTTGTTCAGGACTCTGTCCAGACCCTCACGCCACTGAGCAGCCTCATCAGGAGTCGGCCTGCACACAAAATACACCAGTTCAGTCTTCAAAGTATGCCAACAGTAAATGAAAATCATATAAAATATAACTTTACTGCTGCTATAAATGAGCCTTTATGACTATATTTGTACAATACACGTGTGTTCAGTGACGTGTCTTGCAAAATAGGTTCCTGCTGCGACATGTAAGTCTGGTAAAACATCTTCTAAGAATAAAATGTGTGGCAAGCCTTTTCACATTTTCCCGAAACTCTGTACTATTTAAAGTTGTGGTTTTGAAACTGCATGAACATATCCAAGGAATCTGATTCTATTAGCCGGAAAGGACCAACGACAAGCCAGTGAGTGATTTTAAAACCAATCAAATTCCTCTGTAAAAGGGCAGAACGATCATCCATCATTTAATAAACAGATGTTTTAATATGAGCAGGCTAGCTTATGGTCCAGTTTAGCATTGTGGGGTGTTACATGTAGAACCACTTAGGGTCAAAATCAGAGAGAGATAACTGTTGGGTGACAGAAAATGCGTTTACAAGGTCATCATTCAAAGCGCTAATAAAGAGGAGGATTGCAGATTATCAATATGAGTGGCAGTGACAGGAGGGATATGAAGAGAGCTGTATGACTCTAAAGGGAACCAACAAGAGTAAACAGATAAAATCAGCTAAAGCCTCACCGACTTTGTGGACAACCTTTTGGTTACAAAAGGCTAAAATAATCAGTTTATCCAACTTTAATAAAATGTTCGAGATTTGTTTTCTTACCCTTACAAGATTGCTAACAAGAAACAAAAGTAAAGTAGTCGAACATCTTGTACATAAATCATCTCAGACCCAATATTTTTAAGGTGATGCGGAATCAAATGAAAGCATCTAAATCTGTGTACCATGTAACACCTGAGCAGTGACAGTGTCTGGAGAGCGTTACGGTCCTTTGATCTCTACATATTGTCCCTGCTCAGGGCTCTGCTTGGACACTTAGCCTCTCATTTATCTTGTTAACAATCCAACATGCTTTCTCCACCTCCTAACACATTCATCTCAGAGGCAGAGATAGGGGAGAAAACTCACTTCTGCTGCTTCTCCGGCTTTTTCTCAGTCTTCTCAGGGTAGGGGATGATGAGGTCAATGGCATTTTCAGGCTTTTGCAGTAAAACGCCCAATTTTAACTTGATCTCCTTCGCCCTGGAGGACAAAAAGCAGACGGCTTGTGTGACAAAGTCTTTGTTGTGACTTCTTGGACACGAAAGCAATAATAATCCAGTAAAAATGTTTATCCAAGCCTAGCATCTTCTCTCCAACATGACTCTGGTGTATTGTATTTATACAAGACTAGAAATGTTAAAGCATGTCTGTTGGCATATTTCAATTCAATACTTCTTTTGTTGGACTTTTTTTTACAAAGAGGTCCTATGTTTTGAAGAAAAAGGCTTTAATAATAAAACTGGATAAAAAATAGAAATATTGTTACGATAATAACACATTTTGACTTTGAATTAGCATTTTTTTGTATCGAGTTAGACATTTGTCAGTTGCATTATGGTATGTGTTTAAGTTATAAAAGTTACATTAAACATTATCGTTAAAGTAAAATGTCTCACTACTTGAATTTAAATCAACAACAAAATCTAAACTCATTTAAAAAAAAAAAATCTTTAATAGTTTTTAGGATGAAAATGTTTTTTAACCAGTATAAACTTGTAAAATTGTTTTTCTACTTATACTTACTACTTATGTTCATAAACCTTTCCGTCCTCACCCTTTGAGTGCGTAGGCAACACAACACATTTAACTGCCCTAAGTAAACTGAATAAGAAGTTGTTATTCATGTCAAAAGGTCTGTTCCGCAAGGATGTAAAGAAACATAAATCACTTTCTGAAAGAAAAAAGTTCAAGAACATGAACCTTACGTAACCTTTAAGTTCTGTTAGATGTTAACTCTTGACCTGAGACTGACGGCAACTTATATTTACAATTTATGTTATCTATTTTAATACACTATGATCAGAACCACATAAAACGTTTTAAATACTTTATAGTCAAACTTTCTATTGGATCTTAACGAAATCAGAAGAAAACACTTAAGATATGGAAGAAAAAAGGAAGAGTGTTGAAGCAGGTCTCACCTCTCCAGGCAGGTTTGGGGCAAGGCAGCTAATCCTCTACACATTTTCCGGCGCTCTCAGTTGCAGTATTTAAGTAAATTCGATCTTCTTGTTAGCTCCTGTTAGTCTCAGATTGTCTTTTGCTGTCTGAGTCTGGCTTTCAGCTCATGGGGAGTTTTATATGGACACTCTTTGGGCTTAGGTCCAACAGCTCAGCCAATCAGGCTGGAATGTGTTCAGCTGAGGAGCCGGGCTGAGGAAGGGCGTGATCTCCGACGGGAAGGCTCTGTTTGCTGTCATGTTTCAATTGACAAAGAGATCCTGGACCAGTGGGCAGGAGGCTGCAGGACTGTTTGGCATCAATATAAGCTAAAGGTATTACTACTTGGTTGCTATTTACCACTTTGTGAATCACATTTTGTGAGATTATGTTATGTTTCATATGTAAATTCTTCGATTTAGCAATTTAATTCAGAGCTTACATTTAATTATTTCCCGTTTGCTCTTTTTTTTACGACCAACCCTAACCCTAACCTTTACCCGATGGTCTACCATTTTACTAATTTCTGTTTAATTTCTTTAGTTTAAAACATATATATTGCATCTACACAGACACACACTCAATGATCATACGCAAATGGTAATCAAACTTTGCAACCAAAATTCAGGTCACGTGTTATGGAAATGCTATCTTGTCTCTAGGTCATAACTCTCTTAAGCAAACATTATCCAGTCATCAAACACTGGAGAAAATACATTTTCATATAAAACAAACAAACATATTGCTGCTCTAAAAGTTACAGATAAAAGGAATATCTGATTCAGGCACAACATGTCAAATACGACTTCAGTAAGGTTAAATCGAGGTCAATAATGGTCTTTTTACCAGCAGGAATGTTTTAGACATACTCGGGAACTATTCAAACTGCAAGACAGCTTAACCTTTATTTTGAGGGTATTTTATAGTCTTTATAATAGATTTTGACAGCAGGGACATGACAGGAAATAGAGGAAAAGCACCAGAGGTCCCTGGGCGGATTTGAACCGGAAACCTTGTGGTTAACCAATTGCCCCCAGCTAACATGTCTGTCTCATTTCCAGTTCGTCATTTCGTTATGGCCCTCTGTCTCTCATACTGACCCAAAATAATGCCTCAATTAAAGTGACGTTTATCAAATACGATTAAAAGTGATGCCAAAGGGTCCTGACCAAGCATCTGTATGTGACGAGTTTTGAATGAGAAATGGTTGATCAGACCAAAGCCAATCTGGCGGAAATCAAGGTATTCACAGGGTAATATAAAGCTTATTCAGTGTTATTCTACTCATACATTATAAATCAGACCATTCAAACTGACCTTTTATCCAGAAGGTTTTGTGGAGTTTTACAAGGTCCTTCCATATCTACGTTTCTTGGAAAGAGCACAATTAATATATTATGCAGAACATTTTTTACATAGGTTGTTGCGAACATTTGAACCCATGACCACTGCTGTATCAATGTGAGCACTAAGATAAATAAAAGGTTGTTTGGATGTGAACACGCTCTACAGTTATTGTTCTGTCTAGAAGCATTATGGAGAAACAATATTTATGCATTTAAATATTCTGCTTTATTATGGACCGAGCTGCAGACTGGAGTGTTTTTTTTTAATGTGATGAAAAAGAAAGTTTGTAACCTTTTAATTCAAAATGTTTTTATTTATTTACAGTATAAACCCTGAAGTGAAACAGAAAGACAAGGGCATATTGTGTGTTATTGTGAGCTGGATGCTCTCATTTATGCAATACCTAATACTAATGTAAGAGGACTGGGCAGATAAAGAGAAAAGTGGTAGTGCAGCAATCACGACAGAGGCTGTGTTCAAGTCCAAAAAAGAGGCTTTATTGCTGTTAAAACTCAAAAATACCTTTAACTATATAAAGGCTAACGTAGCCGGGCCGCTAACCGACTTACCAGCTTACAAACTGTTTCCTCACGCTGGGAATCTCCTGCTCCCTCCATGTGCCACACATAACTGAGCAACTCTAGGTGGTTTGTCTCCCTTGAGGGAATGATTAGCACCAGGTATGAGGTCTCCACACCTGCTCCCAATACTGTTAATTGGAAGCGGGTGGAGCTACCTATTGGGAATGTAGGTGTCTCCCACTACTCTGCCTCTCAGTCCCTTACACCCCCCCCCCTTCAGTTCTGGCCGAGGAGAGGTGACCAAGGTCCACAGGGCATCTCTACGGGACAGGGCATCTGCATTCCCATGCTTGGCTCCGGCTCTGTGGATGATAGATAAGTTAAACTCTTGTAGTGAGACAAACCACCTTCCTACTTTAGCATTTGTGTTATTTGCCATCCAGATCAGTGGGGCATGATCAGTTACCAGAGTGAAGTGACGTCCCAAGAGGTAATACCGGAGGCGCTCAAGCGCCCATTTTATTGCTAGGCCTTCTTTCTCCACAGTAGCATACCCTTGTTCCCTTGTGTTCAGCTTCCGGCTGATGTACATGACGGGGTGTTCCTCACCGTGAACCTCCTGGGATAGTACTGCTCCTGTGCCCACCTCTGACGCATCCGTCTGCACAATCATCCCCCGGCTGAAGTCTGGGGTCACCAACACCGGCCGTGCGCAGAGAGCCCTCTTAAGTCCCTCAAAGGCGTGTTCAGCCTCTCCTGTCCACTTGACCATTAGCGGCTGTGAGTCTCTGGTCAGGTCTGTAAGGGGAGAGGCTACTGTGGAGAAGTTTGGGATGAAACGGCAATAGTAGGACGTCAGACCCAAGAAGGTTTTCACCTGTTTCTTTGTTGACGGCCGTGGCCAGTCCTGGATCGCCTGAACCTTCCTTTCTTGTGGTCTAACGTTGCCCCGCCCAATGGTGAAGCCCCGATATTCGGCTTCCTCCAGTCCAAGCTTGCATTCTTGGATTGGCTGTCAAGCCTGCCCTGCGGAGAGATTCCAGCACTGCTGCAAGCCTTATGAGATGGCTATCCCATGAGTCACTGTGGATAACAACGTCATCCAAATAGGCAGCTGCATACTCACGATGTGGCCTCAGAACCTTGTCCATCAGTCTCTGGAACGTGGCTGGTGCTCCATGAAGCCCGAAGGGAAGCACAGTATATTGGTACAGCCCTGTGGGGGTGGCGAAGGCCGTCTTCTATCTTGAGGCTGCTTCAAGTGGGACCTGCCAATACCCTTTCGTCAAGTCCAGAGTGCTGATATACCTGGCTTCCCCAAGCCGATCAATTAGCTCATCTATCCTGGGCATAGGATACGCATCAAACTTGGAGATTTCATTCAATTTTCTAAAATCATTACAGAACCTGTTGGTTTTGTCTGGCTTAGGAACCAGAATGACAGGGCTGGTCCACTCACTGTGAGATTCTTCAATCACCCCCATAGCCAGCATTTTCTGCACTTCTTGCTCAATGGCCGCCCGTCTTGCCTCTGGCACCCGGTAGGGCCGCATCTTTACCTTTTGGCCAGGCTCTGTGTGGATTTGATGTTCCACCATCGTTGTGCGTCCAGGTCGTAGTGAGAACACATCCAAACTCTGCTGAACCAGTTCCTTGGTTTGCTGTAACTGAGCTTTGGACAGCCCTGGACCGTATTCAACTTCGGCCACCTCATGGTCTGGAGAAGAGGGGGACACACCCGGGGAACCACAACACAGCAGTGCCTCTCGGGCGTACCATTTCTTTAACAGGTTAACATGGTATATTTGGGATGGTTTGCGACGGCCAGGTTGGCGTACCTTGTAGTTGACTGGTCCCACCTTCTCTGCCACTTCATAGGGACCTTGCCACGATGCCAGGAATCTGTGTTATGTGGTGGGGACCAGGAGAAGCACTTTATCCCCGGGCAGGAACTCACGCGGTTGGGCACCTCTGTTATACACTTTCCTCTGGGCTTCTTGGGCTTGAGCCATGTGCTCTCTGACCATGGGCCAAACATCTTTCATATGCGTCTGCATCGTCTCTACATGCTCAATCAGGCTCCGATGGGGGCTTGGTTGCTCCTCCCAGGCTTCCTTCGCGATGTCGAGAAGTCCTCTGGGCTGTCGGCCGTACAGCAGCTCGAAGGGGGAGAAACCGGTTGAAGCCTGTGGAACTTCCCTGATTGAAAACAGGACATAGGGCAGAAGCTGGTCCCAGTTACGACCATCCTTGTCAACAACCTTCTTTAACATGGATTTCAACGTCTTGTTAAAGCGTTCTACCAATCCGTCTGTCTGAGGATGGTAGACCGATGTACGAAGCTGCTTTACCTTGAAGAGCCTGCAGAGATCCTTCATTATCTTGGACATGAAGGGAGTGCCTTGATCTGTTAGCATCTCTTTAGGAATCCCAACTCGGCTGAACAGGTGAAGCAGCTCCCGTGCAATCACTCTCGTTGTCATGTTCCTCAAGGGAATGGCCTCCGGGTACCTGGTTGCATAGTCAAGGATCACAAGAATATACTGATGTCCCCTGGCAGACTTCACCAGCGGTCCCACTAAGTCCATGGCAATGTGAGAAAACGGTACATCGATTATCGGTAGAGGTATTAGGGGATTTTTAAAGTGTGGCTTGGGACTCGTCTTTTGACATTCAACACAGGTGCGACAATAATCCTCTATAGCTCTTACCACCCCTGGCCAGTGGAACCGGCTCCCAATCCGCTGCCTTGTCTTCTCAACCCCTAGGTGGGCCCCTAGGACATGGCTGTGAGCCAGATGCAACACTGTGGACACATATTGTTTTGGGACAACCAACAAGTCTCTTTGCTGACCTTCAACCTCTTTGGCATAGTATAAGAGATTATTTTTTATTAGTAAATGAGGACATGTAAGCTCACCTACTCCTGGAACTGGTTTTCCCTCTATTTCCGTAACATTGTTGCGTGCATGCAACAGATTGGGGTCTTCCATCTGGGCGGTCCCGAACTGGCCCTTCAAACTTGGAAGCAATGCGATTTCACCCTCCTCATCACCTGTGCTTAGGTCTCCCGGGAAAGCAACAAAAGGGTTATCATTTGCCTCGTCTGCACTGGAAGATTGGTTGCCTCTCTGCTCCTCTGGCACAGCACACACAACTTTGGGGAACTGCTGAGGAGACGTACCCTGGGTGGCAATTTGTCCTTTCTCTCGCTTTCCTTTGGCACACTTGGGCTTTTTGGGACTCACCTCCTTCTGGTGCCGCAGGCGCTTGTATAGTGGGCAGTCTCGCCCCA